CTGGGTGACAAGAGTGAAACTCCAAAAAAAGAGAAACAAGAAAAGAACAAAAAGAACACTAGGGGACTCTCAGTCATGTACTCGGGAATGGGCGGGAGTGCTTGAACCTCCGCCATGCCCTTCTCTAGGGACTGTGGAAATGAGGAGGACCATTCATGGGTCTCTGCATCACCCCTGCCCCTTCTCAAAACCTTTCTCACCAGGCCCTCCGGGACACCCACGCCAGCAGCCCTTGCTGGAGATTCAGGACTCACGATCCGCTGCTGGCCCAAGGGGACTCCTTCCCCTTGTGTCGGAGACTCCATGTGCCCTTGGGGAGGGGAGAGGGCAAGGGGACAGGACCGCAGCTCTCCCACCGACTCCACATGCACGTGGGATCCTCCCCATGACCCCTCCTCCCTGGCGCCCCGCACACCCGGAGTGTGGGACTGAGAGAAGCTTCCCAAAAAGGGATCTCACGGAAGAGGCTGCCATGGGGACAAGACGCCGATCCCGACCCAGCACCACATGCACCCAAAGGATGGGACCGAGCCGCCGGCGGGACGGGTCCAGGTCCGCCGCAGCCAGGTCATCCGGGTCCATCCCCCTCCCCCCTCTCACACCTGCCCCCATACTCACCATCTCCAGCCTTCCAGGTGTCCTGGCGTCCTCCTTAGGAGTCCCAGGACTTGAAGTTCACAAGGCAACAGAGGCTGCAGCAGACGCGCCGCAAACGGCAGAACCAGGAAGCGGGGACGACTGAGCTCTGTGCGCAGGCGCGAGAGTCAAAAGCCCGGACAGAGTCCGGAAGGCACGCCCGCTCTTCCGACTCGTATCTGATTGGGTAATTCCCACCTCGGCATCCTCTGATTGCATGAGGATCTAGGGCCCACCCCTCTGCCTTTGAGTGACAGGAGATGCAATAAGACATGATCTGTCTGAGTCAAGGAAAGCGGGGGGGCTTTTGAGATCGAGTCTCCCTGTCTTTCCCAGGCTTCCGTGCAGTGTCGACCTGCTGGACTCCAGCGATCCTTCTGCCTCAGCCTTCCAAGTAGTGGGAACTACAGGCGCGCCCTACCACGCCTGCCTAATTTTTTGATTTATTGTAGAGACGAGGTCTGCCAAGTTGCCCGGAGTGATCTCGAACCCGCGGGTTCAGGCAATCTACTCACCTTGGCCTCCCAACGCGCTGGAATTACATGTTAAGTCACTGAGCCCAACCAAAAAGCAGGTTTTTGCATGTAGCATTGTGAAGCTGAGAGTCCTTCCTGCACCAGCACCTGGTCATGCATGGTGACATTGCTTTGACATTGTTTATAATAGAATATTCATTTATGATTAATATCCATACAGCACATAGAGGAAAGTTATTCATAAATGGAAACTATATGCTGGCAATTATAAGTTTCATATTTTTTAACTGTAAGGGTAAACTGAGGCAAGGTGGTGCCACGGGAATTATGCAAGATTGCAGCAGAGAAGAAAGTATGTTTTTTGTTTTTGAGTCGGAGTCTCACTCTGTCGCCCAGGCTGGAGTGCAGTGTCATGTTTACGGCCACTGCAGCCTTGACCTGCTGGGTTCAGGCGATCCTTCTGCCTCAGTCTTCCAAGTAATTAGAACAATAGGCACACGCCACTCCGCTCAGCTAATTTTTCTTGATTTATTGTAGAAATGAGGTCTCGCCAAATTGCCCACGCTGGACTCGGACCCATGGGCTCCGGTCATCCTCTCACCTCGGCCTCCCAAAGTGCAGGGATTATAGGCATGAGCACCATGCCAGGCCTGAAAGTAACATTTTTATTCACCTTCCACGGATGGAAAGGTGGCTGGCACTCAAGTGTGTGTGGCATGGCAGGCTGGAAGCCAGATGTATTTAAGGCCTCCAAAACAAGGCTTTAAGTTATGGAGAGGGGTTAGAGCTGGAGGAAGTCTGGTCCAAAAGGAACATCCAGAGTTGCATTCTTTGGTTGCCACAAAAGTTGCATGAATCTTGTATTCTTGACATTGCCAGGCATCAACATCTCATGACCTCAGGTAGTGGACCAGGAGTTGCCATGTTACCTGGAAGTCGTCATGGGTGGCTGACAACAATGTATTGATACACATGCCTAGAAGATAGGTTATTAGTAAGTCTGGAAATGCTTAAAGGGTTTTGGGTAATCACTGGTATCTAAAACCAAAACATTTAATTAATTTATTTATTTTAGAGATGAGGTCTTGCCAAGTTGCCTGGGCTGTTCTCGAACCTGTCAGCTCAGGCAATTCACTCGTCTCAATCTCCCAAAGTACTGGGATTACAGGTTGAGCAACAGAGCCCAGCCAACCAAAATGTTTTCTTGTTAATGATTATAGGGCAAAAGAACATGTGGCCCATGTAAGCTGTGCTACCTTAAACTAGATATATTCTAAGTTTCTAGGGATCCTTTCTTTCAATAGCCTTCCTTGTCTCTAGGTCTCATGAGGAGGCAGATTGTGCTTTTAACAGGGAAGCAATTCTCTTGGGCAGTAATATCAAAAGAAAATGCAAGCCATGCATGCCATTTAAATGTTGTCACATTTTCAAAAAGGAAAAGAAATGAGTGATATTATTGCCTAAAAAGGGACCCAAGAAAAAGTGTTAATGAAGTTTCTTTTGGGAACTATATCTTTGAAAATCACTCTGTATCTTAAGATTTCAGAATGTCTCATTTTAGACCAGATTATTCCAAACTCTATAGGCTCAAGGCCCAAGTAGCCCATGGTTGCCACACTGGCATGCAGCTGGCATCCCCTGACCTTAGAGAGGTGAAAGGCCTGAAAAATTGTTTTCTTGCAGAGTCTAATAACTCCTTCCTACCATAATTTTTCCTTGGGCTCAAGGGTGAAAAAAAAAATGCCCATCCACATGTCGACCACTGCCTCGTATCTGCTTCTTTGTGGGGGCTCACTCACCTTCCAGAAATTAGACAGTGTACTATGTGTAAGAAACCGAGACTTAGCTGGGCTCGGTGGCTCAGCCCTGTAATCCCTCGCCTTTGGGAGGCTGAGGTGAGTGGATTGCAGTGAGCCCACGGGTTCGAGACCGGCCTGGGCAACTTGGCGAGACCCCCCCCATCTCTACAATAAATCAAAAAATCAGCTGGGCATGGTAGCACGCACCTGTAATTCCGGCTACTTGGAAGGCTAAGGCGGAAGGATTGCCGGAGCCCAGCGGGTCGAGGCTGTGATGGCCAGGAGCGGCCACTGCACTCAGCCTCCCAAAGGCGTGGGATTACAGGCTGAGCCACCGAGCCCAGCTAGCAATTGAGATTTACCAAGAAAGAGAGGAAACCCCCACAGCATTTTTTCTAAAGACTTCGAGATTAGGTGAAAAAATATTCTGGGTTAGATCCCAAGGACCCAGTACAACAGGGTCTATTGAAGGTTAACTTTGTAACCAAGAGTTGACAAGACATCACTAAGAAATTACAAAAGATTGAGGGATGGTAGCTGGGCTCGGTGGCTCAGCCTGTAATCCCGTGCCTTTGGGAGGCTGAGGTGAGTGGATTGCCTGAGCCCGCAGGTTTGAGACCCGCCTGGGCAGGCGAGACCTCATCTCTACAATAAATCAAAAAATTAGCCGGGCGTGGTAGCACGTGCTTGTAGTTCCAGCTACTTGGAAGGCTGAGGCGGAAGGATCGCCGGAGCCCAGCAGGTCGAGGCTGCGGTGGCCGGGAGTGGCCACTGCACTCCAGTCTGAGTGACAGAGTGAGACTCCAACTAAAAAAAAAAAAAAGAATGAAATGAGAAACCAATCAAAGAATTATTAAGAGAAGCTCAAATGGTTTTTGTAAGAAAAGATGATAAAAAGGTAAGATTATAGTTTCCAGGGTATAAGAAGCTGTCAAGAAGCTATTAGATCAGGACTCCTCTCAGGAGTGGGGAAACAGTAAGACTCAACAAAAAAGTAAGAGCGAGGTATCCCAGAGGAGAAACCCTAAGGCTGTAAGAGGATGTTTTAAATGTGGAAAACTGGGACATTTTAAGACAGAATGTCTAGCATGGAAGAAGGAAGAGAAGATGATCCCTCTCATGACCTTTGATGAGGATTGGGGGGGTCAAGGGTTCCTTGTGAATAGGCCCAACCAGGAAACTTTGATAAATTTATAGGTGGACCTGGGGTAAAGGAGGTGACATTTTTGGTTGATTCCAGGTCTGCTTGCTCCTCTCTAATGTTTCAACCAAAGGGCACCAAAATTCTCTAGGGAAAGATTATTGGTATCCAGAGCAAAGGGGAAGGATTTCAGGTTCCAATATTTAAGAAAATGTGACTTAGATCGAGGCCAGAACAAATGGAGGGGTCATTCATATATGAAGCAAGTATCAGCCGTTTGGGTTGAGACCTGATGTGTTAGGCCAAGTTTAGGACTAGGAATACAGGAATGAATAAAGGTGATGAGGGGCTTCCTATCTGAGGAAGAAGAGAGAAAAATCGATGCCCTTGTAAAGTGATAACAGAGAGAGGCTAAAAGAGAAGGTAACAGAGGGGGGGTAAAAGTTACCCCATTAAAAGTTAGACTGATATGTCAACATAAAAAAAAAAAACTATTTGAATCAATTAGCTATGCAGAGGTCCACCTTCGAAACAGCAGCTTCTTAGAGCAAACAGCAAGTAATAGAAAATGTACATTTGATGAAACATTCTTTGCATTGGAGAAACATGAAAATAAATAGAGTTCAAGGAAGTATAATTACTTTTCTAATACCTCTTTCTCAGACCTGTACTAGTTTAACTGGTTCAAGAAGCTCTCATCACATTTTTTCATTTGTATTTTACATATTGCTGTTTGGGTAGTTCAAATAAAATGCAGGTCTTGTAAAAGAATGAAAACATTGGACAAGTATGCATGTGTCAGGGACCACATTACAGGGTTTTTCGGTGCAATCAGTCCAAATTCTCAGATTTGAAGGATAATATGTGCCAATAAAAAAAAAACCTGCTGCTAGACATTCACAGCAGTGCTCTGTCTTGTTTCACGTTACAAATCAAAAACAGCTGTTCTCAACAAACCAATTTTATTTTTTGAATCAGGCATTGGCAGAAAATTTTGTACATTAACCTGGACACGTGATGGTTCTGTACCCTCTGTTGCTGTGAAACACGACATGAGCTAAAGGCAAAGACCGGTTCTCACAAGGACAACTGCTTCAAGTTAGGAACCAGAACAATGTGTTTAAACAGTCTTCTTAGGTATTTTTTTGCCTTTCTTAAAAACCAGCTTATTTTTAATGTCGCCATGCTTCCTTTTGGTAGTTTTTTTTGACAAATACTTCTGTTTTGGGAAAATGTTGGTGACTCGAGGTTTGTGGTCTAGGGTCTCCCTGTTATCAGGTGCTTTAACTTTATATATCCTGACAAGTCAGTGTTCTGATGTAAAGGCTTCCTCCAAATGTTTGAATTTAATGTCCTTGTTTCCAATCTCAGCATTACGTGTTCGGCCAAAACCTGGGGGTGTACGAAAATCCAGCAGCATTTCTCCAAATCTCTAGTGTGACATTTTATGCATAAGGCAATTCAACAAAATGGGCGATTCCTGCTTTGTCTGCACGGAATTCTCCCTGCGGGGTAAAATAGTCGCTTTCCCGAATATCTTTTGGATGTTCCCCTTCAGCTATCCTAACCATCCAGAGAAACTTATTGATATCATCTCCAGAATAGCCAAGAACCCCTCCAAAAATAAGCAAGACATAATCTACATCCAGAGTCCTCATGATTTTATAGGCTGCTGTTTCATTAGAAGACATAGCTTTTCCCACCAGTGCTACGTGGCTGTTATTCCAGGTGTTATTACCCAGCAAAGTAGTTCTATTGGCCATTCCAGCTGTCTGATAGCCATAATCCCACCAAGACATGACTCACGCGTGGCAAACAGTACCACCTCGTATTCTCCCTAGTGGATACCATGCTCTTTCATCAAAGCAATTTAAGAATTCATAGAACCCATGGGATGCAAGACGATGTGTTGACCCATAGTTAAACCACGGGTCGGACTCGTGGATGACGCTTTCGAAGCGCATGACGGCGCACAGGCGCCAGCTGCACCGGCCCGCCAGGCCAGGGAGCGGATGGCG